GGCCAGCGCAGATTCTGGTGCTGCAGACATTCTGTGACCCTAAAAGTAGTTGGACGCTCCGCTTGTGGAGTGTTCCAACCAGCTAGGCCTGGGCACTGGATTCAAAGCAGCAGCCTAAAATTGCTTGAAGATTGGATACGCATTCTTCCTGGTCGAGAGCAGAATACTGTTAGATGGAGTGTCAGATTTCAAGGGAAAAAAGCACCTATGCGGATCAAGAAGCTTGATGGATTCAGAAAGCTGAAGGGATGGACGATGCAAGAAAATTGTGGAACTTTCTCGAACTGTTCCAGCTGATACGCACACCGGGCGAAAGGAAGGCATAAAGATCACTGAAAACAACGGCTCACTTGTCTGTATAAAAGAACAACTCCAGAATCTTCGTTGAAGTCTTTCAAGATCAATTCAACTGGCTAACTGCGGTTTCCCAAATAGATTTCCAAACGGCAACTAAGCCCTGGATAGTGGTTTTGCAACCCGTTATGTATTCGCCGGTAAGCGAAGGCCTTTTGTCCCTCAAGCGTCACCGACCTGCCAGTCCTGATGAACTTCCATCCGCTCTGTTCAATTGATGGAAGTGAAAACATCTAACGTCTAACTTATTTGCCTCTATCCGGGAGAAAGAGACCGTCTTAAGCAACTGGTGTGTGTCGATAGTGGTTCCTACTCTCGGAAAGCGGACCTGCAATGAGTGTGACAGTCACAGGGAAATTAGCTTGACCCTCGTTATGAGTAGGCTCTTTGCGTCACTTATTCTACGTCGTCTCACGAAGGTACGTAAAGATGAGACTCAAGAATAGTAAACACGATTTCGGAAGCAAAGTTGTTATATAGGCCTTACAGATTTGGTGCTTCTTGATCTTAGGAGAGCGTTCGATTTTTGTCAGCCATTTCGGGCTTTTCAAAGCGCAGGCGCAGCAAGGTATGTCCCGGAAGTTAGTGAATATTATGCACTGATTGGTTTCTCATACTCCTGGGAGCATGAGAGTGTATGGGACCTCTACGAAAGCTTTCTAACAAGCAGGGTCATCTGAGAAGGAGGTCTAGTCAATTTTTAATCGATTTTTTTTGGGCGATGATGAGGCGAACACGGGAGATTTTTCGAAACTCCAGTGTTCAAATCTCTCTGAGAAAGAACTTCCTCTATCTGGCAGATGCATATGAAAATGTTCTCATTGTTCAAAAAAGCTTAAAATGCATTACTTGAAAAGCTGAATGCTATCATCTAGTCCTTCTGTGAATGCCTAGTACCCACAAGGTGTAAAGTCATGCTCCATGACGTACGGTCTTTTAGCATGCTTGTGAGTATTCAAGGAGTGACACTGAAAGTTGTGGAACATTATATGTATCTCGGAAACTGCATTACCTCGGAAAGTAGTGTGAAAACAAAGTCAGTGCACGAATACCGAAGGCCAGAACTGCATTTGCCGATTTGCAACACTTACGACATCAAAAAGGTATCTTAGCGGGTTTCAAAAGTGTGTGCCTCAGACTACAGGCCCTAAGTTGTACGGCTGTGAGACTTTGCCGCTTCGAGCACATTATCTGAGACATCTTCAGGCGTTTGACCACAGACACAATTTGACATGGTAAAAGAGAATGAAGGATGCCAAAACAAAGTCTGGGCGCTACTGCTGCTATTCGTCTCCAAGATAAAATCCACGTAATCCGATGAAGATGACGAGCGATATACTAGCTGACCGATATCAGTGGCGTTCATGCTGTCAGTTTCTACGAAGATTATTTTACTGATGTTGGAGATGTAGGTATATAAGTTGTTTGTTGCAGACTAGCTCAGGATCCTCCATATTTTTCTTTCCACTATGAGACTTCACCTAGGTAAATTGCTATGGTTGTACAGCAGTGAAGCGCCAGTGTTCTTACTGGTGTCAATCAATCAAGCAATCAATTATCAGCTATAAACCATGTACCACTGGCACATTGGTTCCAGCTGCTACAGTTTCCATCACGAGAAAACGGATCAGTGTGTTGATGTCAACGTTGATGATAATATTTCGAATGTATCATTCACTCCCAGTTTTTCCAACACGCCACTTACAGAACATTAGGCAAGAGCCTATGGGGCCACCCACACAGAACAGCAAATCGTAGTACTCAGATTCAACGTCAAGAAGAACGCTCTTGTTTGACGCATTAGAGTGCTTGCGTTCATACTACGGTGCACGATATACATACATACATCTTTTGTTTTCATTGTGAATAATGATCTCTGAGTCACACTTTAGGTCTCCGTTGCACTCTGCTTAAGTTTGTTTGATCTAAACAGCACCACAGCACGTATATTTCATGTTCTCAACTTTGTATGATAGTTCAGATTACTTGGCGGAAAAGTGTGGGTCTAAGAACGAAACACTTAGTCCAAAAGGTAACTTCTAGTTCAACCGCAATTAACATGGATGGGTCAATTTAACAGAAGAAGTCAAACTGGTAACATCTAAAGGAATAGTCCCTTAAATGGAGTCGTGTTCAGCAGCTTTTTTCGAGAATGGAGAGAGTTTTTTTTATGGGATGTCGCTCTTTGTAGTAAATCATTCATACTTCAGAAGTTGTATCAGAGAATCACAGTAATGTTAGGAGAAATACGCCTGTTGTATTGTTTGATGTTCCAAAACTAAGTCCAGATTTGAAAATTTAAAAATGCACTTCAGCTGACGCAGGTTTCCCTTACCATTTAGTTTCCGTTTCTCCTAATCTCAAACTGTACCGCCGTCAGGTCAGATTAAAGTTTCTGTATTCGTTTCACCAAAAATCCAGTCCGTCTTGTTATATACCCACTGTTAACATTCACGTACAACAAGAAATGACGATTACCCTAAACCCGCATAATACTTTGCTCGTGGACAGTACAGCATCATATGCATCAATTTCCGGTGGAGCTTCATTTGACCATTTTAGTAGTCGGTTTGCCTGATCGGCCTCATAACGACGGCGACTGGAACAGATAAAGTTTTGTCACCCGAAGAACTGTTGAGTGAGAGGGATGAAAAGGCACGAAAGATACGCCTTCCCTGCGAAACTGCGGCAACTGTGGCGCTTGTGCCTACCAACCGACTACAAGTGTGTTCCGCCTTAATATGTTACTGAGTCTGATGAAGACAGATCCTCAATAGCCTCGATGCGGATTATTTCCGTTGCTCGGAAACACCCAAATTGACCGGAATCCATCCCAAAACCTTACTTGTTAAATGGTTTGGATGGACAACACGGCAGCCCCAATGCCTGTTCTAGCATGTATCGGAAAATGGATATAGAGGATACACACATCTGCCCCCAACGTAATCCCAGTAGACATCAAGTAATAGAACTGAGCTGCGTTGTTGATAAAACCTGCTGCCCTTCCTGGGTTGCTACGCGAAATTTGCAGAATAACGCTATGGACTTTGACTTTGTGCAATCTGATATAACCGAGCGAAATAAGTTTCAGAGAACTTTGATTACTTCTTTCTCTAGATATGCGACAACCTAGCGAACTAACCGGAGCCCGCTTGCGACAGGATATCATAATATGGTTTTGGCTAAGATAGGAGTGCACACCATCATTTTATGCTTATATTCATGAAACGACAGGTTATTAGGGGTTTGGGACTTTGTCATCATAAGCGTGAATCAGAGTCTAGCCTAGTCGGCCAATTTGGGAGTAGGCTTTTCTTGAGATGTACGAAAAGAGACGACAAGGTCAACAAGTAGATCCGTGAAGTGACTTGACTACAACTGTTTAATAAGCAGCCTTGCAACGAAAGGTCAACTAAGAGAAATTCACCCCCATCGTTTGCAAACCATCCTTATCAGTCAAAGCCATGTGAACACAGCGGATCTGATCGTCAGTGAAGAAGTGGAGGAACTTGCCCGAAACTAGACCAATACAAAAGCAATCGAAACCGTTTTTTTATGTGTGAACGTTCAGGCTCATTTGGTATCTAAAAGTAGTTCAGAGCACAAACCAATACAAACAGGGTCCATAAATTTCACAAATGCCATGGATTTAAACAGATGTGTATGGAACCATTTTCGGGTTGTCCCAGATATTTGTAGGTGAAACCACCAATTATGTTGAGAACCACCCTTATATGTAACACCATCGCTGTTATGTAACCTAAGGGGCATGTATCACACGAGTAAGCATTTCAACCAAGGAACTGCAAGGGAGATTTGGTGAAAGGGCATTCATATATTAATACGAACACCTATGCATTGTACTTACAGTACCAGTTGAAAAGAGTTTCATCCAAACATACTTTCGAAATGAAAGTATGCTCTCTAACCCTGACGGTTGAATAAGTTAGACAAGACGACGTAAATGGGTAGAGATAGGTCATATTCATACATAGTGTGAACGACAGAGTGAGAGTCAGCACAAATATCACCCACCGAAATGACCATACAATAAGGAACACGAGCCCTAAAACAAAGTCACTATCAATCTGAACATCAGGCAACACATCCATATCAAGTTGACTAATCAATAATGCTCTTGAAAATGTAAAGTTATCTTCGCCTTGGGGAACTTGATGGGACACCAGATCAAAGAACAGCCTCACCCATCCTTGCTTACTACTAGGAAAATCAGCATTTTTGATCAAGGAATTTCGTAACCAGTTGAGTTATTTCTACCAGTTCTATCTTCTCATACGACAGACAAAAGTAGGTGGAAGGAGACCACAGCGCATACCTTTTCGGAAATTTTGTCTTCCACTCCCCTCATAAGTGTCGTCCGAGAAGATTACGTAGCTGCACTTTGGCCCCTAAACCGTAGATGCAACCTTTCAAATACTAAATAATGTCATCAAAATCAAAGTAAAACTTACCTGGCTCCACTCTTGAGACCAAAAATGTAATGAATGTGAGTGGTGAAGGAAGAAATCAAAGCCAAAGGGATCCATTGTGCTTTCTTCGGTAGCAGATTGGAATTACTGTGAAAAAAGCTCCATGTACTAATTAGCTATTTAAAAGTAGCTGCTATCGATACCCGTTGTTAGTAGCCTAAGCTTTCTCATTCCTTGCTTCATGCCTAGTCAGATTCTGAAACGGCAATCATGCACAGACTGCAAGACAGGATACTGGAACACGCGGGAGAATTATTACGAGCACACCAGTTTGCCGCTGAAATCGACTGGTGAGTCTTCAGGTTTGTAGTTTGTTCTGCGTGTCAAGCTGTTTTTTTAAGTCAGAGTCGTTTCAGTTAACGTTTTGTCGTTTGTTTTACTGGCCACTATTTATAAGCATTATTTTGTTTGTCATAAGATAAGTGGATGCTATTAGAGCCCGCGTACCAGTTGAGTTAGTTGCGCAAATTCAGCAGCACTGTTTTTCTTAACATATCAAACATGGCTACTGGACTCAGAACTGAGGTATGGTGTGTGGTATCCACATGACCACTAGGTTGCATCAGTTCATCATTGATTCAGTGAGGTGATAATCTACTTCGTTTCAATAAATCCATAACGGTGACAAGATTGGTTCACTGACGATTTCCGTTCGACTGATTTCATTTCATTGATGGCGAAAGTCTTTTGGAATGATGATAGTTACATTGATACTCAAGTCTCCTTGACCTTCGAACTAGTCGTCAAACGGCTTTTATTCTGAATGGCCAAGTAGGATCAAGTAGATCTCTGCCCGCCAACGTTAATCCTTAGTTTTGTTTGCGATGCGACGTCAGTGATAGCCTGAGTTGATTTATCTGGATTCTAAATTCTCTGTGTTAAATATAATGCATGTGGTTACCACCAACTGGTGAATTCGTACAAGGTGGAACGCGTTCATGCAACAAATGATATTGAAGTACTCCCTGTACACAAGGAAAATTCACTGCTATCAAAGAAGACAGGGCATACCTTGTTCAATGGTGAACGTGTTTCATGAGGTGTAAGTTACTGGAATCTCAGTCAATTGGAATCAACTGGAATCTCGCTGCTTTGAAAGGATATGCCTTCCGGAGTTGAAATTTTTTCAAGGAATTTCTTCCTGTACGATCAAGTAGATAGAGACGTCTTTCATCAGAGAAGCGAGGAAGTGCTGTATGCTCTTCTTTGTTGCTCACAATACCTAGTGATGGACACAGTAGCCTAGAGCTAACTTATACCTCAGTGTAATCGGAATTCAGCCTCTCCCCCTTCATAAATGTATCCAGATACCAGCTTGCACGAACTGAGTATCCAAGGGTCTCACCCAAATAACAATCAGGTGAGGTGGAGTGCGATCGCGGAATGGTAAAGCTGTAGCCTCCCTGAGTGGAAAATAATGACAGCTAACCATTCGTAGTAAAATGGACGTTTGCCTCTAAGGGTTCGTGGGAGCACTGCTGACGATCTCCGATAGGGAGTCACCTTCTATAAACTGCCTTTATACTTATTGGCACTTACTTAACTTGCAGACTGTAATTTAAGCTGGAACCGGAAAATACACTTCAGTATTTTCAATTTAAAAGAACATTCCACAATAAAGTATGAAATGCATCGTTGGTTCATTCCTGTGTTGAAGAGAGCTGGCGCTTGTAATCAGTGGAGG